ATGCATAAAAGTATATGATAATAAACTAATGATTCCATTTCTTTGAGCCAACATTTATTGTTACCTTATGTATTATGAGATAACTCAGAAGTTATACACATTTACTTACAGTCATATTCCTTTATGGCAATATGTAAAGTAATGGAGAATTCATAAATATACAGGCAATAAAAACTGCATCTATAAAGCAGCTTAAATCCCTACCTTTGGGTCAAAATTGACCTTGAGAAGCCCATCTGTGGCACTTGGTTTAATCAGAGGTTGATTCAAATTGAACTCACAGATCTCATCCACATTACTTTTCCATTCATTATAGACAAGATTTTCAAATTGGTCAAGCAAAGTTGTCATTTCAACGAACTTCTGATAAAGAAGACCATCATCAGGAATTTCTAAGAACCTGTCAGGAATATATTTGTTTGTTTGCTTTACCTTTCTAGATATTAGATTTCAGCTTATTTTCAGGAATGCAATATATAATAAAAATGCATGATAACATAATAATAAGAAGAGAAACAAAAGGTCAAATAATCCTTATTAATTAACTTTGTGTTTTAAAAAGATATAACTATTAAATGAATGTAACTTTAATGATCTTCTTAAATGCCAAAAGCAAAAGTTACCAATTTGTACAGAAACAAAAAGTGTTTTATTATCTGCATAATCAAATTATTATTTAAAAAAGACAAACTACTAATTTTAATTCATATTTAGAAATTAATATTAGAAAAAGAAAAGTAACAAAAAAAGTACAAACATTATGGGTAAATGGATGAGTGAAAAGAAAAAAAGGAACCAAAAACATATAACATTGTAAGGATCCTGTGAAAAATATTCTGAAACCACAGGAATGAATCTTCTCAATGAACTGAGCCAATGACAGGCGTTAAATAAATCTTTAACTGCTAGCATATATAATTCCCTGTCCTATAACAAGAAATTAACTGTATCATAAAGGAAAGTTGCATTATTAAATAAGTCAACTTGCTTACAGATAATGAAGAGATTCAAAGCTGGACCAAAATGTCTGAAGTCGTTCAAGGACTTCTTTGGCCCACTTGATGTTTCCGGAGGCAAATGGCATATTCTTGTGAAGAAATGCATCTCCATGTTCAATCTGCAAGTTGATATTTTGGTGAAAAGAAAGAGAGATAACCAGAGTGCCTTACAACCCATGAAGCAATTGTTCATTTTGATACCTTTACAGTGGAAATGTAAAAAACACATATGTCACTAAGTGGATGATTAGAAGATATACTTATGCCTACAACCAGGAGAAGATAAAGTAGATGAACGGGATCTTCTAAGAATCAAATCCCTATGACATCCAAAAACTTCTCCAACAGGGTAAAAAGGAAAGCCACCGACTGGTAAAAAGTATTTGGTAATGACATATCAGATAAGGGACTTATATACAGAATTTATAAAATACTTGAGCACCACAACCAGATAAAGGTAAATAATCCAATTGAAAAATGGGCACAGGATATGAACAGACACTTCACCAAGGAAGACATTCAGATGGCTAACAAGCACATGAAGAAATGTTCAAAATCCCTAGCTCTAAGGGAGATGCAAATTAAAACAACTATGAGATATCATCTCACCCCACTCAGAATAGCAAAATTTAACAGAACAGCAAAGAACAAATGCTGGCAAGGTTGTGGAGAAACTGGTCTTATTCACTGTTGGTGGGAGTGTAAAATGGTGCAACCACTGTGGAAGGCAGTATGGCGCTTTCTCAAAAAGTTGCAAATAGAGATACCATCTGACCCAGCAATTTCACTACTGGGAATATACCCCAGAGAGACCATAAGTGACATCTAAGCAGATATATGCACACCCATGTTTATCGCCGCTTTTTCACAAGAGCAAGGAGTTGGAAACAACCTAAGTGCCCATCAACAAATGAATGGATAGAGAAACTGTTGTATAGTCCCACAATGTAATATTATGCTGCATTGGAAAAACAAGGAATTCATGCAATATCATTCAAAATGGGTGACTCTGGAGTACATTATGCTGAGTGAAATATCTCAGTCACAAAAGGACAAATACTGCATGGTGCCACTGTTGTAAAGCAGGACTGACCTCGGGGTTGAGGGGAGACTGAGAAAGGTGGGTTCAATAATGTATACTGCACTAAAACAGATGAGGGAGAAAACTGTTTAAAAGGTATATGTGATTAGGTATTTTTGTCATGACAGGAGTCTAGAGCGAAGGCTACATGGTGGAGTGGACTCGGGGGAGGGATTGTAAAACAATGAAAGAATTTTTCTTTTACTTTTCCAAGAGGATAGTGTACTAGGGGAGAGGGTTGGGAGGGGAGAAAAGTGCAAAAATGAATGAATGAATGGAAGCCCAAAGTCTCTGTAAATTTCTACTTAAGTTAATAATAAATTTAACTAAAACAAAAATAAAAAAAATAATTTCTCCACAATTTGACAAGTAGTCACTAAAGCATGCATATAGAAATTGTTGATCCAATATGTTTTGCTCTGTATATTCCTAAAACAACAACAAATTTTAAAAAGCAATGTAAATCTCATAACTAATGTTAGTGTATGTAAATTATTAGGCCCATATAAGTAATTTATTTCCTTTATATCTTAATTATGGTCTTGATAAAATAATAAAAAATCAAATCTTAAAAAAAAAGATTTATTTATGGTTCTTAGCCAGATTCATCTCTGTAGAAATTTTAATGAAACTAAAGCATGAAAATAGTAGTTCTTATTTCTAACCGTTATATACAATCAAATATAGTTTTAGTTGATTGTCATTACCTGCAAAACCAATACGATGATGGGGGAACACACAAAATTTTTAGGGCAGTTAAATTATTCTATATGGTACTTACTGGTGCACGTGACATTATGCAGTTGCCAAAACCAGTAGGACTGGACAACACATTTCTAAACCCTGATGTAAACCATAGCCTTTACTTAACAATAATGTAACATTATTGCTAAACAATATAATAAATGCACCACAACAATTCAACATGATAAGAGGTGAAGCAATGTACATGGGGAGAAGATGGAAGCTCTCTCTACCTCCTGTACAATTCTTGTACAATTTCTCTATAAACCCAAAACTGTTCTAAGAAATAAAGTCTAGTTTTAAAATTATACAATAGAGTGCTCAATCTTACCCGTCACTTACCTGTCTCATGTGTTCATTATATAAGTGCTTACACATATCCAATTCTGCACTAAACATGTGCACTAGTGTGCCATAATGCGGGCTAAAAATTTCCATGACAACAGGTTTCTCAAGAAAATTTCCAAATACAGTCAAGAGCTATAAAAGTCAAAGTTTAAAAAAAGTAAGAAGCCATCCATTTTTAATACAAATACTCACTTCACTCTTTACCCCACTAAACTCCCCACATAACTAGAAATTGAGCAGTCTAGAGTTTTGAAAGTAACTGGCAACTCCTCAAGATGTACAACATTTTGTTGCACCTCTCTAAAATGTCTAGATAACTGTTGTTGCTGAGTATTGTTGAGTCAGAACCAACCCATAGCTGACCCTCCAGTGGGTTTTCAGAGGCAGTTAATAGCCCAGAAGGAAATTGCCCATCTTCTCCCTCAGAGCAGCTGGTATACGTGAACGGTGTGCCTTTGGGACTACAGTGCAGCCTCTTACCCCTAGGCCGTCAGAACTCTCTGTTGTCATGTGTTGCCAAGTCATCTGTGACTCACAGCAGCCCTATGAACAATAGCTTTGAACTCTGCTCTGTCCTGACCCAACCTCACTGTCTTTGACATACCTGCTGCCCCAGTGCCAAAGTCACTGTGCAAATTTCATCTTATGCAGGGTAGCAAACTAACATTTAGCTGTAGTTTCCCTTCCTCGGAAGGAAGTGAGAGGCGTGGGAAACGAACACTGTTAATAGGGCCTGTTCACCACTAATATACTTCTTAAGAAATATTTCAGAGCATGCTTTGTGGATATAAAAACAGAATCAAGATTTATCCATTTAGCTATTGTTCAGATTTAAAGCTGCTGCTCCTAAGATCCAGAGTCTCTAGGTCACATCATCAATAATTATGTCAAATGTTCCAGGTATAGTGACTGACTTGTCTGCTCTGGCTCCTTGGTTCCTCCACTCTCCATGTTCCATATGACAGGACCAGAAGCCCTAACACAGTGGACTGGAGAGCAGCGGTTCCCTATTTCAGGGACAACCTTACACTGGCAGAGAATTCCACTGACATGAACATCCTGTCTCAAAAAAATGCCTTGAGCTGATCAGATTCTTCAGGAACAGTGAGGGCATGACAAGCTGACTAAATCCATGCACAGAGCAGTAATGACCAAGTAAATAAAAACTACCATCAAGTAGAGGAAGTCAAGTTACAGTAAATTAGAGAGGGGGAAAAAGAAGATATTTGGGCTGAAACAGAATCATATGACCCAAAAAGCAGAGAAGGAAGATCCACAAACTCTTCTTGTTTATTAAATGAAGATTTGTAGATAGCAAACTAGCCTTTGCCACCAGCTCCGATCAAGTGTGACTATTCGGTAAACCTGAACTTAGATCCTCACTGGCTTATTTACCATCTCACAGTGTGTGTGTGTGTGTGTGTGTGTGTGTGTGTGTGTGTGTGTGTGTGTGTGTGTGTGTGGTGTCTCACTTAAGACAGCTTCCTTTGCTTGAAAGTAAAATATAATTACTACAATATCTATTTTTGTATGACAAATGTTAATATTGGGCTTTTTTAAAAGGCTGTAGTTTTCACACTGTTCAAATGAGAACATAAAGATCTGCAGAGGATCTGCAACATCAGAAAGCTAACAGCAAAGCGAAATCTGCCCTCGAGGCAATCCCGACTCAGAGAAACGCTCCATCAGGTTTGGGAGGCTATTTTACAGATTTAACAAAGAAAAAGAACCCCAGTGACAGGAAACACATTTACTTTACAGTCTTAGTTTTCAATTATAATTTCAGCTAGAGTTGAAATAGAACACCAGAAGTTCCCAGCTATCTCTCATCTCGCCTACCTGAAGTGTTTCTAGCCAAACACCAACGAGTTAGTTCTGACACTCATAGTACCCCATGTATTGCAGATATTGGACATCACAGAATTTTCAAAGTTGCAATCTTTTTACAATGGGAACTCTTGATTGTACTCATGGGAAACCTATACTTGGATCAGGAAGCAGTCCTCAGAACAGAGCAAGGAAACACGGATAAAAATCAGGAAAAGAGTGTACCAGGGATGCGTCCTTTCTCCATATCTTTTCAATCTATATGTGGAACAGACCATACAGGAGGCTGGGCTTTATGAGGAACAATATGGCATCTGGATTGAAGGAAGACTCATCAACAGCCTATGTTATGCAGAAGAGATGACCTTCCTTGCTGAAACTGAGGAAGACCTGAAGTTTTTGCTGAAGAAAGTCAGAGACAGTAGTCTTCAATATGGATTGAAGCTCAGCATTAAGAAGAAAAGATTCTCACCACTGGACCAACTGGTAGCACCATGACAGATGGAGAAGAGATTGAGGTTGTTAACAGTTACAGCTTGCTTGGCTCCACCATCAACACTCCTGGCACCAACAGTCAAGAAATCAGAAGATGAGCTGCACTGAGAAAATCTGCTGTCAGGGACCTCTCCAGAGTATTGAAATGCAACTATTTCAGTCTAGAGACTAAGGTGTACCTAGCCCAGGCCATGGTCTTCACAATTACTTGTTATGTATCAGAAACCTAGACAATGACTAAGGATGACAAAAGAATAATTGATGCCTTTGGGTTTTGGTATTGGAGAAGAGTCTTAAATATATCATGCACTGATGAAAAGAACAAACAGATTTGTCTTGGAGAAGTGAAAACAAACTTTTCCTTGGAGGCAAGTATTTTTAATATCCATCTCACATACTTTAGGGACATGGCCAGGAGGGACCAATCCTTGGAGAAGGACATCATGCTTGGAAGGGTTGAGGGATAGTGGAGGAGAAGAAGACCCTGGATGACATGGATTGGAACAGTAACTGGAGTAATGGGAGTAGGTGGATTGGAGTCAGTAAGATTGGCTCAGGATAGAGCAGGGATCTGAGCTGTTGTACATAGAGTCATTATGAGTGGGAGGTGACTCAATGGCACATAACCACCACCATCTTTCAGAAATGGAGCCCTGGTGGCACAGGGGTCAAGCACTTGGTTATGAGTTAAAACTTTGGCAGTTTCAATCTACCAGCTGCTTGACAGCAGAAGAATATGGCGTTTGCAAAATATGGAGAGGTTACAGACTTACAAACACTATTCTACCCTGTCTACAGGATTGTTCTAAGTTGAAGCAGACATGATAGCAGTTGGTTTGGATTTAATCTTCTGGAAACAGATAGACAAATTTTTCTTCTCAGAATCCTCAAGACTGATTAGAATTGACTGCCTTTTAGTTGGTAGTGTAGTGGTTACCTACTTGTGCCACTAAATGAGACCTGAATCCAAAAGGAAAGAGATCTAAAAAAAAAAAAAAAAATCTTTAGGAAGGCCAAGAAACTGAAAACTAATAGAAGAAAAGTTTCAACCTTTCAGAGTGTCAACATTATTATGATCATAGACATTGCCAATATATAAAAATTACTCTTCAGAAAGAAAATAAAAATAATTTTAACTTCCTGCCTCTTGTGATAGTGGCTCAAAGAGCTGTTTTATAAAAATATAGGCATCTCTCTTCTTATCAACCTCAAAAGGTTAAAATTGATTCCTGTCACCTACTTCTTTCCTTAAATGTCCCATTTGAGATTTCAGATTTACCTCAATTTTCTTCTACTTCTCATTTTCAATAGGAAATATAGCTTTTTTTCCATAAGTGTGGCCACTGTTCAAAAATAGCACATGATTGTATTTTTTCCCCCTAGGCTTGGCTCTTTTGAAGATTATTTTAAATCTGTTGACACCTTAACCATACGGACTTTAGGGTTTTGTTTTGTTTTTTCAACCATAAAGGACATCAACTTTCTAGCCACACTCTTTTACACACTGTCAAAAGTACAAAGGCATCATAGAGATACCAGAGTCTGACCTCTACTAACTCCTCAAGTAGAAAAAACTGTCCCCATCAACAACACACACAACACAAAACCAATTTTCATAAGGTCAGATATGTCCTCCACACTCCTGCAACTAATTTCAACATCAATATTTACTGCTCTATTGGGTCCAAAATTCATTGCAATAGCGCACAGACCACGAAGAAGATGGGGTTTATTAGGAAAGTTAGTCGTTTGCATTTCGAGTTAGCAACAGAATACAATTTTCAGGACAACTTCTAACGTGTGCTTGCAGGCCCTTCAGCCTTCTACCTCAGAGCTCTAGACCAGTATTACAAAGCTCTCCTACTCCTGCCAACTACAGGGACTTCCTCCAAGTTCTCCAGCAAGCTTAGACAAGGCCTTGGGTTCTGGTTCTGTAGGGTAGCAGTTCCAAGTCAGCTGGGACTTACATCAGGACTCCGGTTATCTGCTGCATTTGCTCCTGCTCTCCGAGAGGTCTGGCAAGCTCAAGACCCTCTGGCCCCAAAGGGCATGCACTGCCTTCTCTAATGCTGCTTTGCTGGTTGTGTGCTTTTCCTATTCTGCTGTTGAATCTGCTCAATTTATTGACAAGACTAGCTGATCCTCTTGTAGATAGGCATGTTCCTGCCTATCCAGGTTGCTAAGCTAAAGTCAGTCAATGGGTAGGAAAGCCATTTTGAATAATAAATCCTTGCAACCACACACTTGGTTGGGGGTTGGTGAGGTGTCCTTTATTTTCCTTTTTAATGTTTCATCCATGTACATCTCGCTTCCTCTTCTAACCACCAAACTCTTTGGTGCTTTGATTTCCTCTCACTTCTAACTCCCTGTTTCTACCCCTCTGCTCTTTGTATATCCATCCACAGCTCACTGGTTATCCTCTTTTTTGCAATAATGGTCTTGCTTTTTGTGCATGTGCACCTGAGTTAGTTCACTTAGCATAATGCTCTCTAGCCTCTCCTCTGTTTTACAGTATTTTTCAAAATCATTGCTCCTGAATACTGCGTAGTATTCCATCATGTGACCATGCCATAGTTTCTCAATCTAATCATTTGTTGATGGATATTTGGGGTGTTTCCATGTTCTTGCTATTGTGATTAACTGCTATGAACATCGGTGTAAAAGTCTCCTTTGGTATCTCAGGTTCCGTTTTCCTTGGAGCATATGCCTAGTAGTGGTGTAGCTGGGTCATATGGAATCTCTATGTTCATTTTTTGAGGACACACAAGAGGTAGGGGACCGGTAGAGAAATACTACCCATTGCCTATTGA